AAAGGAACTGTTGTGTTATCAACCAAGATGTCAGGCAGCAGATCATAGTTGATTGCGTTAATGTACTTTGCTGAACCTAGGATAATTGCTTGAGTCTTCTCTGTATTCAACATAAGCTTGCTCTCAGATATCCAAGAGATGATATTCTGTATGTCAAAGTTTATCTTGGCAATGCAATTAATTAGATCACGTGGTTCACAGTGCAGATATAGAAGCAGATCGTCAGCATAGAAATTATATTTACAATAAGTCAAGGTGCTACCGAAGTCCCTAAGATATAACACAAATAATAGGGGTCCGAGCACTGAGCCCTGCGGGACACCAGCACCAATGGAAGCCGGGGAAGACAGCCTAGAGTTTGTCGGATCACGAACCACCTGCGACCGACCAGTCATGTAGGACCTGATCCAATGCAGTGTGAGGCCCGAAAAATCACACTGAGAGAGAGAGAGAGAGAGAGAGATATGTAATAAGCAAACTTTAATCTTTTCCCTTTTATTCTGAAATAAAATTGTTTAATTTAATTAATCAATTTGAGATCAACTTTTCCCACGCAAGAAAGTCAACACGATCTTTCTCCGTTGGATGTTAAACGCGAAATTTCTTCGCCTCGAGGGTTGAACTAACCGTTTAATACATACGTAGCGAGGGGGGAACACGTGGAAAAGCGGCAAATGCGATTTTAATGTCGAGTCACACGGCCCGCCTGTGTTTTCCGCGGGTGTGTCTTAACGATCTCGTCGAATGCCCGCCGGCTAGGTTCGTCTCTTTCATTTCGCGTCGCATTAACCCTTGAGTACCACCACGCGAAAGGAATTCGCCAGATTCACGCGCGCGTGTCTACACTCTTCTCACGCGCGAACTTTCTGCGAACGTGCGCCGCAACCAAAACTCCGCCAACTTTCCACGATGCATAATGTTACGCGATGTAGTTACCGAAATATTAGGGCGCGAAGATTTTCGTTCAAAAAGAATTGACAAATCTATTTTCGAAAAACGATCGCGTACGACTCGGATATTCTCTAAATGAACCGAACTGCGACGCGCGCGGTTGTACGCATTAGCGACAGACATTTTTCTCCCCTGCTTCTTCTGTAATGTTTTTAACGTAGATGTTCTTTTCTCTTTCTCTCTCTCTCTCTCTCTCTCTCTCTCTCTCTCTCTCTCTCTCAGCAAAGAGGGAGACTAAAAGGATTTGGCAATAAACAACGGTAAGTCTGAAAATTAGGCGTGGGTCGCAATCTACATCGAAACCCTCGCGGTGGTAAACTTATCGACCATGCCTTTACCGAAAGTCGCTTTCACGAGGGGGGGGGGGGTGAGTAACCGATGGATTAACGATGTTAAAAACGGAGGGAAAACACAAGAGAAGCTTTTCCGCCCCATTTTCTTTTAGTTTTATTGCTGCGAGACGTCTTTAATTTTGATAACTCTCTGGTGATCTCGTAATTATTATTAACGTGACATTCACTGTGGTGTGATGTTTATTTTTTGTTTTGTTTTTAAAGTTTGTCGTAACTTTCGGTCGTCTGTGAAGGGACGGATCGCAAAAAGCGCGGATTATCACGGGCGAGGATCTAATTACCCGTGGCGTTTACGTCAACGTTTTACCGTGTGATTTACGGCAAAATTGTAGCGACGACCTTCGGTGGTTGAGATGGACGGGTTTACGAAGAAAGAGAAAGAGAGAGAATGAGCGCGGAGAATCTTTAAGCGAGCAGTTCGCGGCTAAAAACTCCAAAGGATTCGGTCATTTATCACGGCAGGCTCTGCCCGCGGGAATGGAATGGGGAGGGATACACAATTCGCCGGACAGACTAATCGCGGACTAACTATCCACATATTATCCACAATAATTTCCACATTATCGGGAGGAGGGGAACGGCGAGTCTCGACCGCTCTTGCGTATCGAGAACGCGACCGGCGACGAAACGCTTCGTCACGTCTCGCCTCTTGAGTTTGACTAATTTTTGTCACGCCCGGAAACGTATTTCGGTCATGTAAAAAAAAAAAAAAAAAAAAAAAAAAAACAACAACACACAAAAACTACAGTGAAATAAAAAATGTGAACGTAAATGTTAACGCTGCTCACCGGGTTTGCCCGGATCAGTTTGAAGAATGCGTATTAATTGCTATATAATTTGCGTGGAAAGTATTTTTGTGCCAGTGCGCGTTTGCGGTGGCGCGCGCGTAAATATACCGGACCGGTCGGCAACAATTTTGAGGTTTGTCGCGCGTAAATAAAGTGAGCTCGACCGTGGAAATTAATTAGTGTACCAAAGGGCAAAATATAGGGAAAATTGGGAACGCTCACTTTGCAATTTAATTGGGTATTCATTTAACCATGCGCCTACGCCGCGTATAAGATTTGCATAATAGCGACCGGTACTAATTAGCGCGCTAGCGAGCAAATGTAAAGCGATTTATTAAATAACTATGTAATTTGCGGCGCGAATTGTGGAATTATAAGTTTTTGTTATTTCTCTCTCTCTCTCTCTCTCTCTCTTTGCGGTTTTGTATTATATAATTTATTCACGCAAGTATTATTACATTTAACGATTATTCCAAATTTTGCGTCTAAAATTAACAAAATTAACACAATTGAAAAGCAAACGGCGTACACACACACACACACACACATAGACGCTCTCTTAGATCATATAATTTTCATGAGATTTTATTATTCGACAATGTGCGACTGCGTATATATATATATATATATATATATATATATATATTATAAAAACAACACGTATTATTTTTCTTTGAAATAATTTGTGGAGTAAATAACAACGGCAAACAAAAAGTATCATAAATCGGATACAAAAAGTATCGTAAATCGGAACTAATTTAATATCATTAAAGCTCGCTCCGTTCCACGCCAGTAATTCGCGAGTGTATCGAAAACACGATAAAAGGCTATCATGTCCGTGTGTTCGTTCACGAGCCCGTCGTTATGTCGGACGACAATTGGGACATACGGATGATCATTGAAGGTGTACGTGTTAGGCCACACATAAAACGCCTTCAAAATTATAGAGTGGGTCAGATCCATCCATCACAACTGGGACCATGGGACTTACGGTCCCAGCGCGCCGCCCCAACGTTTAGGTCGTTAGTAATTTCCTGCACGGGACCATTTTTTTTCAAGCCCAAATTCCATATGGCCCGATAATGCCAAAATCGATCGAAAGGTCGATTATTTTTCGACTTTCTTCTTTCGACAATGTAACCACGAAAATATACACCCGACGGTTCGAGAACGACGTCAAGATTTTCAACACAAATTGAAAACTTTTGTTTTTTTAATCATTTTGATATTATTAAAGTTGTAAAGATTAATGTGGGGTTTTTAAACATGTGGTACACAATCTGAGAAAAATACAGAGTTAATGATAAACTAAATTTTTAATACTACAATTTGTGATTATTTTACATTTATTTCTAAATATTATACACAGACGAATCAACATACATTTTCGACTTTATCAACAAAAACTTTAGCATTTCATTGTAGTTTCAGTATCTTGGTCTCAGATGGCAATAGCATACAGACCCTCTACTTTCATGGTAACAATGAAGGTGACCAACACCTTCCTAAAGAGGCCGTATTGTGACGGGATCAAAGTTACACTCATAGAGTTTGCAGATACTGACATTATCAGTGTCTGGTAAATGTAAAATAAATTAACGCGCGATCAATGCACAAAGTACAAAATTGAACACACGATATTAATAGCAATGACAAAAATGTACAGTAAAAACATAATTTATGTAATTTTATAAGATACTTTTTTTAGTTTACTAGCACAACACAGGCGCGCGCTACGCGCACGCTATTGTTATTTTTATTTAACGTGTTGTCAGTGAACCTGTCACCGCGATGACAGATAGTATATACGTCTTATAAACCATATAATACACATATGAGAAATGTCAGAAATAACA